TCAATGCACGCACATCCAAACAAGTCATGATCTCACACTGTTAGCGAAAAAAATCTCCCCCCAATTTCAAAAATAATTGTTGAGAGTCCCCGAAATCCAAATTATTGGTGAAATTACCCTCTTCAGCCCGATTCCATATTCCATTAATAGTTCAATTTTAGAAATATGATTAAGGCCTTTTTTGAGCCCCATTATAAAGAAAAATTTTGGTAAAATATATTATGAAATAATATTTTTTTAGAAGGGTGTGTGATTAAAAAAGAAGAATTTTTTATTTATTTATGTATAATATTATTTTATTAAAGAATGTGTGGTTAAAAAAAGAGAGAAAATTGTATTAAAATTTTAAACAGTGTCAAACAAGGGCTAATTTAATTCTCTGAATTTTGAAGTCAATCTCGGCTAATTATGTCATGATTAGTGTGTAACATATTCATTTAAAGAGTTGAATTTAATTTAAAATCAGAAAAGAAATTCGATGAAATACTTTTAAATGTTGAGCTGGATTGATAGTTAGGATTGGCAATTGGGCCAAACGGCTGATCGGCTCGCCTGTTAAATGTATATAATATTTATGAATCACATGAAATGTGTGAATAAAAAATAATTTCGTCTTCTATAAATAATTTATCAATATTAGCCAAACGAGCATTTTCATGCCCTACATGTAGGCGTAGGAGAGTAGACGTGAATGAGTTGGGACTTTCCTTTGAATGCTAATCTATCTAATAGAGGCACTTATTATGACTTAAGAGTTAGTAGGTAGTTATAATTGGATTGTCTTAAGAGTGTATTATCAAATGGCTAAGTCTTGTGGGAAATCTGTCATTGAAGCGTTGAACTCTTAGAGCTTGTTTGATACAGAATTTCTTAAAATAGATTTTGTTAAAAATGATTTTTTTTTTTTTTTTAAGAATGTAAAGTTAAAAATAAGGAAAAATTACGTATCCACATGCAAAATTATTTACCAAGAGAATGTATTATTTGAAATGATTTTGAAAAAAAAAAATGAACTTTAAATAATTTCTACTACCAAACAAGGGTTTAATGATATGACATGCACTTCAATTACAAAACGAGCACGAGTTGCCAGTCTTGACTTAAAAAACACCAACATCACAATCATTGAATTTAGTCACATACACTGGTCTTAAAGAATACTTGCCATGACTTGATGAGCTGCATTTGGTGAAAAGCTCAATTTCACATGGCCTAACCTAGATTTTCCAATTTAAGAAGTTTTTAATTTACATAATCGAGGATAATCGGATCCCAAAATCTAGGGCGATCACCACAAGACATCACAAATCTTAAGGACCACAAAGTAATCAAGTTAGTATTTATTAAAATATAAAAATAAATTAAAACACGGTTATGTTCAACGTCTCTCCGTTATACCTCGAATAAAGCAACACGTATAGGAAAAAATTCTTTATTCTTTTCCACGTACTTGTTGGACATCTATTTACGTTATTCTGAATCTCTAGCTGGGGTCCCCTGAGCCTTAGATTCAGAAATCCCTAACCTTACACCTCCATTTCACTCTTCTTAAAAATGCCATCGATATTTTCCTCGTCACCATCCTTGGCCCAATTCCATTCTCGACTTGAAGAAACGTCCATCATCCCTTTCCCGTCTTGAGTACCCAATTACGTGGAGAATCCTCATCCCGTTCAAGACGAGACCTATGAGTATCAGGTTTAACAAGTTCTTTTCATCCCTATTTTCAAGTGCATGCACCAAATGGAAAAACATTTCATTGAACTTGAGGTGAATGAGGCTCGATTTGTGATAAAATTTCAATCAAAACTATTTAAATTTTTTTTATTTAATTCGGTTTAAAATCAAGATTTAACGAAGAAAAAAAATATATTTGTCAAATAAGTTATATCATAATATTAACCTAAAATTTTGTGTTAAAACATAAATAGCATAATTAAAAATATTACAAACCAAAGATCTATAATTCTAATAACTATAATGGAACAATATTATGGAAATATTTTAATATTTTAGTCGAAATAAATAGGTGCAACTTCTGCAATTGTAACACTCGATTTATTCTCACCATTAAGATAAAAATATAATACATAAATTCATTGATAATAATTAAATGATACGAAACAACTAATAAAAGAAAATGAATAGAAAAATCAACTACGATACTTTATATAACTTTTTGTGAATCATGTGATGCTTCTGCCTCATTCAAATATTGATGAATTACTATTGATTTCTTGTTATAGGCAACCAATTTTTATGGCGTATCAACGCCTCAATAATATTTGCACTCAACGGCGTCCTAAAAGAATGAAGAAAATGACCATTAGCATGGAATGTAGGCTCAGAAATTAACAATCATGGACATTCGAACAATTAACGCATCTTTATCAATTTAAGGGACAATCTTGTACTTATTTATGTTCAATTTTTCACCAAAGTAAGATATCGTAAAACTCATTGATCAAATCTTTAAAATTATCATTTAAGTTATCCACTAAATCATTCTAGCAATCAATAGTAAAATCTAAAAATTAAATTAAAAATATAATAATTAATTGAGTGAAGATGTTCAAGAAATTAGATGAAAATTTAAAAAAAAAAAAATATTATCCTCCAAAAATTTAAGGGAGCCCACTGCAAATTAGAACAAAACAAGTACAATAAAATATAGCAAACAATTATCCAATTTTTTTTTTTTTTTTGATAAACTGACTTGGAATTTTAGCCTAAATTTGAGAAAATTATTAGTAAAAGGAAAATAATTATGTTAGTTTTAATTACAATCTAAATTTACTTTTTACTCAATTATAATGAGCGCCGATAAGTATGGTTCAATAATAATTGTTCATCACTTTATCCAATTTGAGGTTTTTGTATTGATAGTTGTGAAGATTGATGAGTATTCGAGTATGATTTAATTAATTAAATGGAATAGATAATTGCCTATTTAGAAATTGAGTTTAATTGGGTTATGTTAATATGAATGTACCTTTTAAATTGAGATGTCTTTACTTTTAATTGGGTTGGATAAAATTTAAATTAATTTATTTTCAAATTTTTTGAAAACGGTTTGACGGTTTTAAAACGGTTTGTAAAGATTGAAACATAAATCAAATCACTTCAAAATAGTTTGATTCAGTTAAAAACCAAAACACGACAAATCTAGGCGGACTAAACCAACAATCTTAAAAAGGTGATTTTTGTTTAATTTGACGGTTTAACGATTTCATTGTTTAGCCTTAAATTTTAGTAGATCCATTTTGAGTACATCTACCGACCATTCTCTGTGGTTAGCTTAGAACGAGCCAGAAATATAGTGCTCAAAACTAAGTTAATTTTTTTTTATTACTTATTTTGTTAAACATATTTTTTTTAAATTACTTTTTATCCAGTATTTGTTTGATGGGATTAAAAACCGGATGTTTTATAGATTATGATAAAAATTGATGAAATGTATATTTGAAATATGTGATTAAAATTAATTAATTTAATTTATATTAAAATTTGAATTTAATCCTTATCAAATAGGGATTAATATCATATTAACAATTAAATATTAATTTGTTTAAATACATATTTTTATTTATCCATGGTTACCCAACAAGGCAAAAGAACACAAAAGCAGCCCACCAGTCTCAAATGATAAGGACCACTTCTTTAATTCTGCCGAACGGCCGCTGTCAAACCCGACGGGACGGCATTTCAATGCACGCACGTCGAAACAAGTCATAATCTCATACCGTTTACCGACAAAAATCTCCCCCAATTTCAAAATTAATTGTCGAGAGGCCCCCAAATCCAAATTGTTGGTGAAAATTACCCCTTTCAGGGCCGATTGCACATTCCCTTAATAGTTCAATTTTAGAAATATGATTAATTTAATTCTCTGAATGTTGAAGTCAATTTCGACAAATTATGTCATGACTCGTGTTTAACATATTCATTTGGTGGCCGAAGAGTCAAATTTGATTTAGGGGTAGGAGAGTAGACACGAACAAGTTGGGACTCTCCTTGAATGCTAATCTATCTAATAGAGGCACGTATTATGACTTAAGAGCTAGTAGGTAATTATAATTGGATTATTCAGTAGTAGTTATTATGAACTAGGAGTGTATTATCCAATGGCAGAGTCTTGTTAGAATTCTATCGTTAAAGTAACTGAACTTGTTTGATATAGAATTTTCTAAAATAGATTTTGTTAAAAGTAATTTTTGTTTTGAAGAATGAAGATTTAGAAGTATGGAAAAATTATATATCTATGTGCAAAATTATGTTATGGAGAGAATGTACTATTTGAAATGATTTTGAAGAAAAATGAATCTTAAATTATTTCTCTATCAAATATGAGCTTAATAATGTGACATTCACTTCATTTACATTATAAGCACAAGTTGAAAGTCTCGACTTGAAAAGCTCTTAGATCACGATCATCGAGTTTAGGCACATACACCAATATTAAGGAATACTTGCCATGACTTGGTGAGCTACATTTGGCGAAAAGCTCAATTTCATATGGCCTACCTAGATTTTCCAATTTAAGAAGTTTTAAATTTACGAGGTCAATCGGATCCCAAAATCTAGGGCGATCCCCACAAGGCATCACAGATTTGAAGGACTACAATGTAATTAAGTTTGTATTTATTAAAATATTAAAATAACTTCAAGCACCGTTATATTTAACGTCCACCTGTTATACCCAAAAAAGCAACACATAGTGCAAAAATTATTTGGGTCTATTCATTAGTGATTATGAGAATTGATTTTTTGTTCGTTAAAAAAAAAAGTGAATACCATCGATGAGTGAAAAAGTAAAAAATGACGAATGAAATAGTAAAATAACTGATAAGAAAATTGATTTTTTAAAGTGAAAAATTGTTATCAAACGGAGCTTTATTCTTTTCCACTTAGGACTTCGATTTACGTTATTCTGAATCTCTGGCTTGGGTCCCCCGAGCCTTAGGTACGGAAATCCCTAACCTCACACCTCCATTTCACTCTTCTTAAAATGCCATCGATATTTTCGATTCCTGTTCACATACTGATCAAGCAAAAAGGAGAGTAACATCTTTGAAAAAATCACCGGTAATTTTGAAAAAGAATTTCCGATTGGCGTTGTGAGTCAGAGATTCGAAGCAATGGCCGATCACGCCGCTGAGAATGAAAAGCACGAATCGGCTGCTGAATCGATTGTTGATAAGATCACGGAGAAGTTTCACGATAATGATTCGTCGTCATCCGATTCCGACGACGAAAAGGACATTAAGGCGAAGGCAGCTGCCGTCAAGGCCAAGATTTACCGTCTATTCGGCCGCGAAAAACCTGTGCACAAGGTTCTAGGCGGAGGAAAACGTACAGATCATATTTCTCTCTATCGATTAATTGGATCTTAGCATTTTGATTTGAATTGTTTAATTTGTGGCGAATGACTAATATTTTTTAATGCGCGTCTATATTGCTGGTGCAATTATTGTTGTTTTTAGTACTTTTTTATTTTTCTTATTTATTTGACGAATTGTATTGTGTGTGATTTTGACTAATATCTATTTAAAGTTAATTCAACTCAATTGCCACTGTTTAGTTGGAATGTGAAAATGGAATCTCTGATCTGGAAGCGTTTATAGCTTTTTACTGTTAATAATTTATTTGTTTGACCTTTTTTTTTTAATTTTTATTTTGGAATTCTTACCATGCTTCTGAACCTTACATTCCTAGAAATTGCTGTAAGGTGGTTTTAATAAACTGGGGCATATATTCAAATGTGAAATTATGAAATACACTTGGTTCTCAAAACTACGAGTACAGCTTTTTATGAAGGAATTGGTGCAAAATATTTAATATTTTCTTATTATTGAGTTGTAGGCGATTGAAATCATGAACGGAATGCTATTAAAATTGGCACAAAATTGAAGTTTAGGGAAGCTGGTCTTGGATAAACTTTTCCTATTGATGTGTTCTAGAACATAGTTAACTCTAATTCTTGCATTTTTCGAGGAATCAAATAGAGACATTTCTAGATACATATCTAATTTAAAATCAGAGTTAGAGTTTACTCTCCTTTCTATGGATAGTTGTACATCTTTCCACTTGTATTATCTTACTATTGTGATTTTTGGCAGCTGCTGACATTTTCCTATGGAGGGACAAGAAAATTTCTGCTGGTGTGCTTGGCATTGCCACCACAATTTGGGTGTTTTTTGAATTGCTTGAATACCATTTACTCACTCTAGTGTGCCATATCCTAATTCTTGCTCTAGCAATCCTTTTCCTGTGGTCCAATGCATCTTCCTTCATCAATAAGTATGCTTTCTTTCTTTTTAGCGTGTAAAATCACTTGAATGTTTTCTCTTAGTTGCTTTAAATAATCTTCTTCCATTTTACGTATTAGGTCTCCACCTCGAATTCCAGAAGTCATCATTCCTGAGGATTTTGTTCTAGGTGTAGCTTCTGCCTTAAGGATTGAGTTCAACAGAGCTCTTGCAATCCTCCGAGATATTGCATCTGGGAGAGATCTGAAGCAGTTCCTTGCTGTATGTTAATTCTCTTGCTTTCCTGTAATATGATCTGCTGGTTCATTCCATCAGATTGATATTGAAATAAAACGAAAAAGATGACAATTATTCTGTGCCACATTAGTCAAGGAACACGTTTATTGTTGGTTAGTTTCTCATTTATATAGGATACAGATGTAATGCGTGGTGGTATCTATCTTAAGCTATTTACCTTGAAATTCGGTATTTCACCTCTAATTTTGTGCTCATAAGAATATTGCATTTTGGTTTTTAGGCAATTGCTGGTCTGTGGGTACTTTCAGTTCTGGGAAGTTGCTGGAACTCCCTAACCTTGTTCTACATAGGTAAGCACTCACTTCTTATCTTGCACTAGTGCAAAAGATTTATTGTATAATTACAACCATTATCTTATTCTGGTATTTTACAGTTTTCATTGGCATTTTGTGATTTGATTTTCATGGGATCTCCTGTTTTAACTTGCCCCCTGTGAAACAGGTTTTGTTTTCTTGCACACTGTACCAGTACTATATGAGAAATATGAAGACCAAGTAGATGCTTTTGCTGAGAAAGCCGAAGCAGAGATCAAGAAACAATATGCCGTGTTCAATGACAAGGTTTTGATTAAAATTCCAAAAGGCCCACTGAAAGACAAGAAGCTGGCTTAGAATCTCGCCAAGGTGGTCTTATTAGGTTTACAGTGATGCTTGTAGCTTCGTTTTTCCATTTTGTTGTTAAGACTCAAGCCATATGGTAGATAACCCATGTTTACTGGTTTGTTTCACCATGTTTGGATTCATAATTTAATCAAATATATATTTGTGAGGAAATCTCACAAATTTTGTGCGACTAAATGGCACCATTGTTGCACGAACTAGTTTGCACTAGTGCTTAGAGTAAATTATCGCTTGTTACAAGTCAATTGTCGCATTTCCTTTTCCCGGGCCGCCTCTTCTTTAGCCTCGAGTGGAAGCTGATATTAATATTAGTGAAGTTGCAAGTGTTGAATGTATGTAAAATACTTGCTAAGAATTATTTGTAGTCTAGTCTGCCTTACTCTGGATACAAATCTAGTATTTACAAAGTTTTTGTAAGAAATTAAAACTGGCATCATCTTCTTCGACTCCATAGTAGAGACACTCTTAGGGCATGCTTGGTAAGTTATATTGGACAGTATAAGTTTAAGGTTCTGGTTTTGATTATACATTCTGGTTTCGGTCGTTTATTTTTTAGTAGGGTAAGGGAGCCTGTGTTAGTTCTTTATTTGATGTACAAGTCATAATGCGGACAAGTAAAATGTTCGAAAATAGCAAAATCCCACCAGTTGTCAGTGCTTTTGAAGAAATTTGAACAAATTAGAACGGCACTAATTTTATAAATGATCAATGTACTATTGTTTAGCAAAACAGAACTACCACAAATGGGTATATACTACGTTCTTAAAACAAACGCATTTGAATTGCTCATAGGTATGTGTTGGGTTGTTGAGCCGTGTCTATATGGTTGGTGGTGTATCTACGTTATGTTGTTTGACTGTGTTGGTAGTGGTGGCACTATTAGACTGTGTTGGTGGTGGTTTGGCAACGATCATGGTTTAGACAATGGTGGTGCTGGTGGTGGTCACAAGTGGTCGCAGTAGTTTTGAGGTGGTTTTGTGATGACAGTGGCGGCGGTGATAGTGGTTACATGGGGTGCGTACAACACTCGTACTCGTGATTTAGTGTCGGGTGATTGGTGATGTCGTGATCTGGTAGCAATGATGTTGTCAGAGTTTGGTGTGTGGTGGTGTTGTGAATAATGTGATGGTGGTTTTGCATTGATGTGGTGGTGGATTTGCATTGATATGGTGTATAGTGGTTAATGTGGTGGTGATTTTGCACAGTCTGGTGAAGGTGGTAGTGATGACAGTGGTGGATGGATGGATGTAGAGTGTTTATGATCAATTATTTGTATGATTGTAACCAATAAGTTGGTTAAATTGTGATCAATAAGTAATATGTGACTAAAAATGTGATTATGACTTACAATCTATTAAGTTGTAATCGATAAATTACTTGTAAGCAATTAGTATGATAATTTGTAACCAATAAATGAGTAATGATCTACAAAAGTTCCGATTTTGTGACCGGTGAATAAATTATGATCGATGAAATTTTTTATTTGTTACCAAGAAATAATTCGTGACCTATAAATTTTTTGTATTGTGTTCAAAAAATAATTTGCAACCAATTAATTTGATAATTTATGATCAAATTGTAAAGATACAAAACCTTAATATATTTAATTAATAAAATAATTTTTTATTAATTATTTCATAAATAAAATTTAGTAATATCTGATTTTTGAAGTCTTGAACTTTATTTTTTTAGTTTTGAAATCGGTCATGGATAAACTCTTAGATATAAATTTTTTGCTAAAATAA